CCACCATTAGAAGAAACCTGGAAGCACTGAAAGATGACCGTCTCATCCTGGTATAGGACTCAATCATGTCAGTGCGCATCCACGACTGGCGCACCACGAAAGGATTCGAAACTAGGATCTTCAGTCTTACGCGTGGACACCTAACTTGCAGATGACTGAGTCGGTATCTAACGGTGTTAATGTCTTATTATTATTATTATTATTATTATTATTGCTTTTACAAGACCCAAAAGTATCCTCACTTCAACATCACTTTCTTTTATCTATAATTGTAATCTATTTTTTTTTTCTTACAATAGAAACCAACTATCACAATTATTTCCAACAACAAACAAACACCACTACCACATGTTAGTCAAAAAAAGGGTTTTTAATGAAAAAAGGAATAAAAAAATGAAAGAACAATATTAATTATGCGAAGATTATTAATATTATTCTCGAAAATAAAATAAAACACTGTCTGTCATATAAATTAATACTTGATTTATAAAAATTGATTGACATTCTATGAGACAGACATAATATCATCAAGTGTAAACAATATGAATGTGAACAACACATAAAATGTGAATCATATTAATAATAATAATAAGTTCATCTATCGTGATTTATTTTTCATTTAAATCTATATTCTCATTATTATGACTGTATTCAGAGTTCATTCAAGTGTGAACAGATTGTTGACTGGATGCCCTATAACACCAAAACTTACAGACACACACACACACGCACACACACATACAGACATATTCTCGTTTCATCGAGTCATTCATCGCACTTCCTCTCTTGTTGACATTTTATTTTTATACAGACATGATTAACTTGTACACACAGTAGTTAGATTAGTGTTAATAAGTTTTTTTTTTTTTTGAGATGATTACTGTGGTAACTAATTGAAATTTAATCAGATAGTCACGTGAACACTTGTTCGTTGTATTTTTTTCTGTGCGTTCTTACTTTTTCATGTAACAGATGTATTATTTTATTTTTTTGCCTTTTGTAAATGTAGTATATGTAAAAGTGTTCACTATACTTGGTAAATATAAATATGATAATAATTTCTCCCAAAAAAAAACTTCATCTAATTTGTATAAGCGTGAAAAACAAAACAAGTTCATATTTGAATTGAATTTTCCCTTATTTTAAAGAAGTTTGAATTTGAAAAAAAGAAGCATAAATATTGATAATAAATAGTTCAATATGAAGTATGAATGATTTGTCAACTGTCAATTTCTGTTGTTTTTGTTAATGGTGATCAAAGTATGTAGAATGAGAACTAGAATAACGCCTGAGGAATTAGTTAGATTCAAAATAGTGATGTAAACATTGGTTTAAGTATGAAAAGTCGAATGTTAAACGTTACATAGGAAAACAGTTGTTATATACTGTGTTTAAGTAAAGATGTGTATTGTATACTAATATGTCAAGGTAACATAGTTTGTTCCAAACTTTGAACAAATTAATTAATCCTTGCTTGTAGAGTTATTGTTCATACATCTTCCAACCATGTCTCGTATTCGCCCGACGATCTTTGGAATTTTTATTCGAGTATATATGTACATGTTTATTTCGCTTATCACATATCGAACTTATTACGAGTGACTATAAATACTTAGATATGCTTCAGTGCATTCAGTTGGCTAAATCACCTTTTCCGCTTCACATTGGTATGCTTCAGACAGACAGACAGACAGACAGATACAACACAGAACTTCGTACATAAGTGGATCAGTTCAGGTTGCCATACCACGTCAACACAGAGACGTAACTGTCAGTTCAAATCCAAGAGTTATAGCGATAGTAGAATTATTAGCAGCAATCGGGGAGATTAGGGAGCGAAGATGTGATTCGAGAAGTATAATTTAGTGAGATAAATTCAGAAGTAGGAACATAGAGATTATGAGGAATTCAGAAGGTTAGAATTGGAGAGAACACAAAGAGTGGATGCACCTTCGCCGTTGCAAACGATTCTGAGCCATATCATTCAAGGCGACTTTCGTCTCGTGGACCCCAACCAGGTAGTCTACATCTACCAACATGACTAAGTCCACTTGTCAATGACTTCATGGATTTGTGCCATGTTTTGGTTTGGCCGCCCCTAACTTTCTTCCAACCTACTCCTACATCACAGAACAGATCGTCGTGCAAGTCAGTGATTTGGCATTCGTAACACATGTCCCAACCACCTTAACTGATGAAGTTTCAATACTTCATCTATTGATCTGCCATCCCTACCTAGAACTCGTTCCCTAACGACAGCATTGCTTATACGGTTGTCCCAGGATATGCGAGCAATGCTTCGGAGACACCGATGATTAATGTACTTCTTTGGTACACCTTTCAATGACAGACTCTGCCACAGAACCTCACAATCAACAGAGTCAAATGCCGCTTTTGGGTCCAGGAACACGACTATTGTCGGACGTCTAAATGTGTGTCTGTGTTCCAGGACCTGTCGTAGTGTAAAGATGTGATCTATACAACCACGTCCAGGTTTGAAACCAACCTGGTTTTCAATACAACCAATTAGTAAATCATTAATGCACATTATATAAATTTTTATAGGACTGGATTATTGCTAACATTGAACTCTGTGATATACATATCGTCTTATTTAGAATATTTATCTGGTTGGATCTCAGTATTGTTGATGTTTACCTTAAAACCTTAAACCGAAGTATATATTTATCACTTCATAAAATTAGGCATCACATGATGACTCACTAGATTGATATCATGGATCAATAATAGTTAGAACACCATTCGAAACCTGAGCACACTGAAAGACGGCCGTCTGGTCCTGGTATGGGACTCCTCAGCAGTGCGCATTCACGACTCATGGTATTCGAAGGATTCGAACCTGGAACATTCGATCTTGTGCACGAACGCCTAACCTCTGGACCACTGGGCAGGCATTTGACAGTGTTAATGTCTAACTCTGATAAATCTAGGGATTTCGCGCAATGAAACTGCCGTCCAGTGCTCCCAAGTTTCTAACGGTGATCTAACATGATTTCTGTAGGTAAAAACGATGATCTCCCTAATTCTGACTGAAGAATGATCATTAACTAACTAAACAAATTTAAACCTATATGAAGGTAAGAATTTGTATTTTTTTTAAATGATTTATATTAAAAACTGTAAATGACCAATCTCTACTCAAAAAAAATTTTAGGAACTTGAATAAATTACTTCGATATTATATTTTAGTAATTTAAAAAATATGAATCCTAAGATTCCAGAATATATCATTGACAAGTTTCAGATACATTAAGAAATTTATGACTACTATGAATAAACTAGAAATCATCAAAATAAACTGAACTGCATAGTGGTTAGGAATGTGTAAACAGATAATCCATTGGTCTAGGCAAGAAAACGAATTTGTAGAAAAAAGCAATTCATTTATTTAATGATAACTGATGTGAATTTCTAAACTAAAAAAACTTTTATTAAAGTTTGAAAAGTTATTTTAACAATAGAATTTAAGATATCGTGTTCATGTAACATAAGATGTGTCAGTCAAATATATCATCACACCATAGTACAGTTACTTGAATTATGTTTTCTGATTAGCGTTTTTTAGCAAGGTAGTTTATTTTCGTGAGATAGGGTCGTCAAACCACATGCTCAACCATCCACCATTATCTAGGCTTGGGACCGGTAGTAGCGTCAGACGAGGCTCCAGAAGGAGTTTCTTAGTGCAGTTGTTCATGTTAAACTGAAATGTGTAGAGAATATCTTTAAGATGTACACATGTCAATTAGAACTAATCACTGTTAGATGTTAAATATTAACAATGTGAAACTTTAAATCTTTAAAAAAAAATGATTTCAAATTTAAAACGAAATATCTGTTAAATGTTTCCCGATGGTTTGTTTTAAATGTTATTTAAATAACAGAGAGAACAGAAAGAAATATGTTTCGCATTAATTGCTAAAAGATTTTACTATACGTTTCAGGGTTGCACTATGCTTAATACATGGAAGATGGTTACGCAGTGTTGTTGTGAACTGATCAAGGTTATATATTAATACCGTTAGATACTAACTCAGTAATCTAGACGTTACGAGTCCTTGCGTCAGACAAAATTCTTGCATTTGATTCCCATGTGCAGAATCGGGGTGCAACACTGTTGAAAAGTTTTATACTCAGACTTTACAGTCATCGAGTACTTTCCGATTTTCAATGTTGGTCCAAAACTGGTCAGTTCATGATTTCAATGGAATTCATCACAAATCCATGAGAATAATCTATGAAACATGATAATACCATCTAGGAACATTAGTCGAAGTTATTAGATTGATTAATCGAAATCTACAACACAGTAGTTGAAAAACTTCAAACTATACTAATAACTATAGCAAAAAATTATGACGTTTGAGTTTTTAAGAAATAATCACTCAAGATGAATTATGATGTCATCAGTTTAACTCAACCAATCATAATGAGAATTGTTTATTTTAATTATTTTGTTATTGCTGATTACATCGTTAAATAAATTCATACGTAAAAATATTGTATTTCACATCAGTACAATCATTCATCTAGACGATATCAACTGCTTGAATTAAGTAAGTAAGTAACAAAGATGTTTCGTCTCAGATTAGAAATCGATTAAAAATTGATTTAACAAAGAAATTGTTTTATTAAGTGTTAAAGAAACAATTTTTTATTAATTCTCGTAAAAAAAATACTAATGAACAAATTACAATGCTTTTATTATTGTTCATTAAAGACGGAAGATTTTCCTACACTTTCTATTGGTGCGCTTCATTAAATGATAAACGAAAATATACTTATTTTTTATTGGCTTATAAATATTCTGCGCATAGGATATAATAATTTTATTCTAATTCCTATTGGTTAAAAGCGCAACCAATCAAATAAACACATTTTCTAGAAGCGGGTTTCACCCGCATCATATATAAACAGTAACTGAAGTTAAGGGACCATCATTTTCCTTTAAGGAATTTTTCAACTTTCAACTTACCCTGATTATGGAAGTTTGCGGAGCAACCAGTATAACTGGTCAAGGCTTCGTAGACGCTGCCTACTTCCGTGATGCATATTTATGTGAACAACTGACTGATGTAAAACAACATCTTCCAACTTGTGATTACCCATATCCAGTTACACAACACCAGCATTTATATGAAAATGTTTCGACATTTTCATTTCCACAGATCACTACTACTGCTACTACTACTACTACTATAAACTCATCTAGTACTATTTCACAGAATTTCACCCCGAATAATTTAGCCCATGACAGTCAACGAAACCGTCAGCATCGTTTACAACCTACACTACAAACAATGTCATCAACTTTTGAACATTTCTATCCGAAAGAAATGTCAACAGATCAAATGTACACCCAACGACAATATCATCATCACCATCATCATCATCTTCAATCACAACAACAGCAACAGCAAAGTCTTTCACAACATTTTCTTCATCCTAATAATCATTATAATAAAAATGTAAACGAAGATTACAAAATGAATGAATTTAAATTTATCAATGAAACAGTTGCCATGACTACATCCTCCATTAATACTCCAGCAGTTATCGCTACACTAGCTAGTACTACCACAACAACAACAACAACTCCTGCTACTACTATTCCGTATACAATGAAACAAACTACTGTCCATTCTATACCAACTTCCAATGAGAAACAAGATTATACATTGAATAATTTGAATTTATGTAAAACTTTATTATTGAATTCAACAGAGACAAATCTATCTCAATGGGATGTGAATGATCCGAAATTACCAAAAGTAAGCATAATTCTTATATATATATATATATATATATATATATATATATATATAAATTACCTAATTGATATTTTAGAAATAATGAGTATGAGAGAGAGAGAGTATTTTTTCTATCCGTTAAGCATTTAAACAAACTGATTATTAATAATAATAATAATAATAATAATCGTAATAACACTGCGTACAAATTAAAAATTTGCATAAAACGATTTCATTCAGTAATGAAGCAAGTTTAAACTGAAATTCTCATGCTAAGCGATGATTAATGGAGTTCAAACCCTTGTCAGATGTAAACAGTTACCTATCGAACACAATAGATGAGGTTGTACAATAATCAGGGACTCTGAATAAAGCTAGAGACATTAAAACGCCGTTGGATGCCGGCTAGCACAGAATACTAAATACAATGAACTGAATTGGATTGAATTTTGTCTTTAAGTTTGTTCTAAGTCGAATTTTTAAATTTCTTCTGTTCTAAACTAGTTAATCATAATACTAAGATGTACAATTCATTTTAAAATATTCGGATTTGTAAATGATTGATTGTTACGACAATCGATTAGCTATGCTGTAATGTAAATCGATTTTATTGAATGAAACAAATTCATTACTGTTAGTGAGAATATTAAAAACATAATTAGTGCAAAAACACTAATCTCCATAAATCTAGTGGTCCAGAGGTTAGACGTTCTCGCACAATACTGAAGGTCCTGGGTTCGAATCATGTGAGGTGCGCACTGCGCACTGCCGATGAGTCACATACCCGGACGAAACGGGTGTCTTTCAGTGCTTCCAGGTTTATTCTAATGGTGGTCTAACAATGACTGATTGATGATTTCAAGCGTGTAAAGTGTGCGCAAAATCCCCAGATCAATGAGCTTTAGACATTAACACCATTGATCATATCCAAGACATTAGAATTCTGTTTATCACACTCAAAACGCTTGATCATTACAATTTAATAAAATGGCATGAAACATATTTCAAAGCTTTTTTTATAGGTTATTATTTATGTATAGATACAGCTTTATAATAATCGTCTTCTTTAATTACTTACTATATCTACTACCATTTAGATTCGTCAATTCGATTCATTTACAATGTGGCCACAAGGACATTGTCGTTATGCTTATAAAAAATCACTATCTGAAGGAGCTCGACGTCATGCTAGCGGTTGGGCAATGCGTAACACGAATAATCACAATTCACAAATATTGAAAAAATCCTGTCTTGGTGTATTGTTATGCACATCGAAACAATGTACACTAGCTATGCGACCAGCTATCTGTGATAAGGCAAGACGACGTCAAGAAGGTGAGTTGGTATTCTGTGGATTATAATGTATCGATTATTAATGATGATATATTTGTTTTCAGTAAAAGAAAAATTAATTAAAGAGAAAGAGATACAATCAGTCAACCACTGAGTAGTGACCATTGTAATGTTCATCTAATCGTTAGGCGAAGACAGAATTCCATTAATAAAGTTACAATCAAGCGAATGGTCTAAATGATTCCTTATTACATGCGCTATGATATGATATTCGACATTTGAAAGTAATCACTAGGACACTTACCTGAATGAGCTAGATGGCGTTCTCCTACCATTTAATCAGACGAGTGTCATTATCATGTAATCGTTTCATATAGACAGTTAAGTCAGCAATAAATAAGCACGTATCAAAAGATAACTTTAATTGTGACCATCGCAATTAGTGGAAATGTGTTTCGTATTCATTAACAACCTCCTCATATAAGATTTAGTTAGTTCAACAGCTTTAAAATCTACTCCATGGGTCATACTGGGGTTGTGGAGATCATTAAATTTCATTCAAACCAAAAACGATTAAAAATTATGTAACTATTGTATAAAATTCAGTAGTCTGTACAACACTACAACGACCAGGTTCAATAAGAAATCTTCGGAATTCTAGTATAAAGCCTTGACCTGTAGGGTTGAACTGTACAGGTGTAAGAAAGACAATAACAGAAGACAATACCAAATTATCACGCAATATCGTGAACTGACTGAATATTAGACTTGTACATCAATGGGTCTCGGCTCAGTGACCTTAAGGTTAAGCTTTCGCTTACGAAACCTAAGGTCTTCAGTTCGAATCCAGCTTTCAGGGTCGTGAATGCTTTCTAATACTTTCAAGGCTTCAATAGTTGTTCAAATTTCAATCAAATAAAAACAAATATTCAATCATTGCTACTTTTTAACAAGTTCTCTGTCTAATATTATTTCGTGATTTAGTGAACTGATTTAACTAACATGAAAGGTTTACATTTCATTCTCTTCTGATATCTTCTAACTCTTTTCATCTATTGATTCATGCTTATAACCATACTATATAAGATCAGCTTCCGCACACAAGTTTATTTGAACATAAATTTTCTGTCCATCTGTTGTTAACACAAGTAATTATGCTCTTCTCACTTCTTTCTTTATGATCATTAAATAAGGAGGTTATCAGTAAATGTTTATTAAACTAATCAACTGATCAAAAACGAGACAATTAGTTAACTTGTATGTATGTATGTGTCCATGTAGATATATATATATATATAGCTTATCTTTTCTTTGAAATCGTTGCGTGTATGTGCACATGTTATGTATGACCAGGTGATATACAACACACATTTCTATGATATAATATATTGAATGACTGACTCCTTTGTGATATGAAAAACATTCTTAATTCACACTACTTTCACACGTTTAAAATATCATGGATTGGCAATGATTACAAGGTTGATTATATTCGCCTTTACCTTACTTGCTTTTCCTTTTAAAACTCAACTTGAATGACACATGTTCCAAAGTACCAGATATTAAAATGTCATTATTATTATTATTATTATTATTATTATTATTATTGCTGACACATGACCATATGATATCGTGTAGAATATGTGGAGTAGAACTCATTTCCATTGGCTGCATTTACATAGACATGTATACGCACAAACATAAAGGCAAATGTCACAAAATCTCAACCAAGAGGTTAATTAGTGGATTTCAATGAAATAATAAACTCTACATAATCTATAAATAATCATGATAATAATATCAGTAGTAATAAAATTAAATGTATAAATATATAACTGTTTGATCAAAACAAGAGAAAATTAATGTCCAGCGAAAATGTGTAAACATTTGGAAATTTATGTGATGGCACGAAGTTGATCAATTTATTTTTTATGAGACCATAACATTTTTGTAGCTGTAAACTATTTTTAAATGTATTAATGTGTTCATGATAAGATGATGTTCAAAAAGTTAGTTGGATGAAATAGTTGCTCAGTTCACCTGGTTCATAATTCAATGCGCGTGTCGATTTTAACGTGTAAATTGTGTTTTCATTGTGACGACAATTTTTCACGAAGTAGATTAGATGAATTTTTAAATTGAATTACTTGTTACAATTTAATTTAGGTCGACAATGTTGTATGCCAAATTGTACTGGACGTATTTACATTCAATCATGTCATGGTCATGGCGGTTATCCTGTGACACATTTTTGGCGTGAACATGGTGATACTATTTATTTTCAAGCTAAAGGTACACATGATCATATACGACCTGATTTAAAACCAGTTCGTGATACAGCAGCTAGACGTCGTAAACAGCAGCAACAACAACAGCAACATGCGGCGGGACAAGTGGACAGTGGCAGTGAACAACATCGACAACGTCAACAAAAAATGTCACGTTTACATAACATAAAGAATGCTAAATCCAATTGTGTAACACATGAAAAGAAATCAACACTTATGCGAGATACATTGAATTTGCCTTATACAACTGAAGTAATCTTGCCAAATACTACTACTAACAATAGTATTATTACTCCGACTATTGATTATGGTGTTGATATGATGATGATGAATATGACATCATTTCATCATCCTGTTAATAATGATCCATGTTCTAATCAATTTTTACACATGCATTATGATAAAAGAACAAATATTGAACATGGTAAGTAGTATGTGCTACACTATGAAATTGGTAATGATTGAATTTTATTGAGATTATGAACTGATTTAATCTAGACAAGAACTGAAAACCTGAACGCACTAGCAAGTTGGTTTCGTCTAGAGGTTAGACGTTCACATCACAGACCGAAGACTTTAGATTTGATCCCTGGTTGTAGAGTTGTGAATGCTCACTTCTGAGTAATCCTATGTTTTTTTTTTATTTAATGCTTCATGGTTCTCAATGGTTTTCTTTAGTGCATCAGTTCATGGTTTCATAATTTCTAAAGTCTCTTCAATCGATATTGAGCTATAAGAAAAATGGCCAATTTCCGACAGATTAGGATATCGAACAGCCGAAGAAATATTATGACATTGTTATGGATTAACTTCGAGTTGAATTGGAAAGATGTAAACTCATCAGTCATGATTCTGGCTTGCACAAACTAAAGATTATTTACAGTAAACAGGAAACAATAAAACCTCATAGTTGTACAGCAAGGAATAAAATTTTAACTAGACAACTATTCATAAAAAACCACGAAGTAAGGAACATCTATTTTATGCCATTATGAACAGTAGAAATCTACAACCGAATCATGATAGTTTCACAGTAGGCCCTTAGCATGTTGTTGCCTGAATCGATCGATATCCAGCAGTTTGTATGTATAAGTTTAACCGATGCTTAGCAATGACCAAACGACTTTTGATATGGCTGATCAGTAACTGCCTAACATTCTTCAGAGTTTTAAATAATTATTACAGGTAAATCTGGTGTAACGCACGAAATTCAGTAAGTTTTTTAAAGAAAATAATGATTACTAGACTCAAATAATTTTCAGCTGACATTCGAATAGCGGTTTATTCTTGAATTTACTGTAACCAATCAAAATTTGGAAATTAGACTTCAGTTCACCATTATTTACTTCAGTTGTAACAACAAAAGAATTTGCATTACGGAGTTGTTATGAAGATTGTTAAGTTTTATTTGAAACCATGAATCGATTATTGTTAGACCACTATTAGAAGAAACCTGGAAGCACTAGACATCCGTTTCATCCTGGTATGGGACTCCTCAGCAGTGCGCATCCACGTTAGATACCGGCTCAGTGGTCCGATGGTTAGGCGTTCGCTTGCAATACCGAAGGTCCTGAGTTTGAATCCTGCGGGGTGCAGGAGTCGTGGATGCGCATTGCTAAGGAGTCTCATACCAGGATGAAACGGCCGTCCAGTGCTTCCAGGATCTAATGGTGTGCTAACATTCGTCGATTAATGGTTTCAAATAACACAAAGAAAATATTTTTGGATGCTAATTATTAAGCTGCCTGAATGATAGTCGAACACTATGATCATTGCATGATTTTCATTAACAGAGAAATCAGTTCAGTTCTAATGTTGACATTTACTATGTTCTCCCATAAGTACCCAGTGATGACACAAAACTTACTACTAATAATAGTGATCATGAAAAAAATTTTCTTTCTATTTTTATCAATTTAGATTTAAGCAAACAAATACCAATCATCGATTCGTCTTCTACTTCTACTACTTCTTATTGTGACAATTCAATAGCAAATAAAGAACCAATCTTTCCCGGTTCAAATCCATTTGAAAATAGCAATGAATTTAATTCACTTGAAACTGATAACATGCTAACAACAGAAATGATACATACAAATGATTTAATAAACAATCCAGTAATACCATTGAAAACAACCAATCATTTGTTAGAAATGACAAAAACCACATTAACACAGAATGCGACAATCAATAAATTGATGAGTGCTTATACTAATAATACTTGCAGTCAGTCATATGATCCGACTACACCGATGACAAGTACCTATGATACTTGTGTAACATCACCAGTAGAGAAATTCCCTGCTGTCTATACTCAACAAGATTCCAGAGAAATGCATAACAATAGTAATAATAATAATACTGATAGTTATTCTTCTTCTAATTATTATTATTATTATCAAAATCAAATGAATTTAACACCGACTAAACTGTCTACAACATCATCCGCATGTAATACATTTTATCGATATCATTTTATGAATCAATTGTTGATGAATTCACAATTCAATCCTACAAATACTACTTATAATACTACCAATACTACTACTACTACTACTACTACTACTACTCATAATCATAGTAATAATAGTAATACATGTGGTACAAATAGTGAATCGACATCGACAACTTATGGTTTAAATGCATCATGGTCAACTCCGTCACCGCCAACCTTTGGTGGAGTTGGCGGTAATTCCAGCTGTTTATCGAACAATGTGAATACTACTAATGATACAGTATACAATGGTGTACTGATCGATAATGTTCCATTGCATAATCAAGTAGCGTTAGATTCATTGAAAGAGTTACAATCATCTTTGTTGTTGAATAATAATAATAATAATAATAATAATAATAATAATAATAATAATATTAATATACAAGATGGAAATCACGCATGGATTGATCGTTGTGATCCGATGCCTGTTTTTACTACTAAAAATAGAAATAACAATAATAATAATAATCATAGTAATAGTGATAATAATGGTAGTATAGAGACTTCTTCAACATTTTATGATCCAATTAATCATCAACATCAACTTCATCCTGATGATGAACATTATCCAACATATATGCATAAATTGAATTTGGCCGGTTATCATTTGACTGCATCAAGTCAACATTGTCATAACAATCATATCCATGATAATTCCAATGATCATTTATCATCAATGCATCAGACAGATTTAACATCATCCATATTTATGTCATCTAGTACACCGGTATCAACTATGCCGTCGAAAACACTGCCCAGATTATATACTTTATCTGATGATGATGATGATCATGATGATCATGATCAGAATCAGAATCACAATCATCATAATTTTCATACACCTACAAGTCGGTTGACACAAACAGCTGACACAAATCATATGCATCAAAATCATGTCGCATTTAATTATGTCACTCCAATACCATTTTATTTAAATAGTAGTTCTGAGTCAAGAAGTACACGAACAGATAGTTCCAGTGATAGTAGTCAATCGAAACAAATGATACTATAATATATACAACCGATTAGCATTCACTATTTACTCTACTTGAAACTGTACAAAACGTAGTATTTTTTTATATAACAAATATGAATGTAGATTTCTAAATTTTTTTTTAAATATTTTATTGAATAACACTGATATATTTTTTTTGAAAAAAATTTAATTTTGTTCTACAGATGTAAATTTATTGTTTTTTGGCTTTTCATGTAAAAAAGAATTTTCTAACTATCTACAGATAAATTTAAAATATTTACACAGAAATACTTTGAGATTTGGTTGACTAGCATATGTATATAACTAGAATAAGATCTCTAATGAATAATCTAAGTACATTGTAAATATTACTATTATTCTTATAATTATTTTTTTTAAATATTTTTTTTACATAACAGAAGAAAAAAATAAACTGATTCCATTATTATTTGTAAAATTTCTCACTTTATTTGGTGATAAGATTAAATGATTTTCCTATTGGTCGAAAAATCAACCAATCAGAGGCGAAGAAATAAAATTAATTTTTTTCGTATTACTTTACAAGTAAAACATGCATAACTTAGAATTCGCATAAATTGAAATAGATTTTGAGGAAGGTAAATTAGTGGACGATTTTATTTAAAGCAGTAGGCGTCATGAGAAGTAAATTAAACATCGCTTTACTATCGTAATCAGTCATCGAGTGGATTTGCTGGGGACGTTAGATCCCCAGATCTCGCTTGATAAATTCTTCAAATTTGGATTCATGTTTACGAGCATGAGCTGATCAGTTGACCTTGGGATTTCGCTTCCCACCACGAAAATCCATGGCTGTGATTGATTGCTGTGTTAGTTTAGTGTGCTATTTTCGTGACTCTCCCAAGGACGTTTATCTGATGCATAAACAAACGAGATTTGTACACTTGATTGCATTGTGCTTGCTGAGTGTTTGTAGAATATACTCTGTACGCTATATCAACACTTTACATTAGTCGGTAGATCAGGATAGCCTACCTGGTTCATTGTCTCGTTCGCGTTTATCGACTAAGGTGAATCCGTAATAGTTTCAAGCATACCTAGTGACGAACCTAATAGAATTTTATTAAAAGCATGTGACAAGAAATTTGATTAAGAATATGATCAAATAATTGTATGTTTGAATCAACATATGACAGATAAGTCAAGCTTATTTAAGTTGATTTCTAAGTCAATATGGCATAAGGTGACTCCTTTAGTTAAATTATTCCAGATCTGAGAATGTTTCCACTTTTGATTGTACAATATTCAATGTTCATGATAAGAACTTAAGAAAATTCAGTTTAATAATCACGAAGTTATATACTCTAAAGCATTTACTGAAACTCAAATAACAAGTTGACAAGATAATATTCAGATAATTAGAAAGCGTAATTAAAGTAATTTTTCGATGAATATCGAAACTAGGATAACTTTATGATTTAAATTTCATTTTTTTTCATGTTTTCAGACAATTGAAAGTTTTTTTTATAATTAAACTATGAAATAATTAAAAACGTTTGTTACGAATAACTTATCACTAAGCAGGGACTGGTACCAGGGTTTTCTAATTCCTATTAGTATTTACCAAATTTTATTGATAAGCTTTCAATGTGATCATTATTTTTACACATTTGAAATCATCAATCAATTATTGTTAGACAACCATTAGAAGAAACCTGGAAGCACTGAAAGATGCCCGTTTCGTCCTGGTAAGGGACTCATCAGCAGTGCGCATCCACGACTCTTGCACCCCGCAGGATTCGAAACCAGGACCTTCGGTATTGTGCGCGGTCGCCTAACTACTCGACCACTGGGCCGGCATCCAACGGTGTTAATGTCTAACTCTGATCAATCTAGGGATTTCGCGCGACCTCACCCATTTGTCTTTGGTAGTAACTGCCCACACCTGACAGGGTTAAACTCCACTGATCAGGTCTTCTCATTAGAACTCCGAGAATTTCCTCACGAAGCTAGTCACTAGTGAGCACAGTTACGATATTTTCAGTTAGAGCTTTGGAGATTTGTGTTTTTACACTGCGGATGAGACTCATACCAGGACGAAACGGCCGTCCACTGCTTCCAGGTTTCTAATGGTCGTTTCAAATGTGTAAAAACACAAATCCTTAAAGCTCTAACTGAAAATATCATTATTTTTGCAATTTTCACACATTAGGCGGTTCAAAATGATCGGTTGGTGATTGGCTAATAATATTTGGTCGTCATTAGAGGGCTGGACTAATATGATATTGATTGTAGGATCCAAGCTGAAGTTTCGATTTAGGAATAACTGTCCAGGTAGTTTAGATACGCGTCTTGTCCAGCTGAAACCATAACAAGTGATTTGGGTAAATGACTGTTCTAATATTCATCATAAATATAAATTTACATCATTACCTAAACAAATATTACCACTCAGTTATTCCACCAACAATTGCTCAGTTCAGCAAATCCACCGCAGATAAATGATATTCTATCTATCCTGGATAGATCAGATTTGTTCGACAGATACTATTTATATGCTTTATAACAGAGTATTTCCTATTCTGGAAAAGTACTTCAGCTCACAATCAAAATGCACAATTCCAGTCAAATCAAGCAACCGACACAATCAAAATAGGAACAAATCAATATGGCTGTCACCATGACTAAGTATCAGCTTAAAGAATATAAATGCAGTTCATAAAGAAACATAGAAACTCAGTGAAGGCAAAAGAAATAGAAACTATGAGAAAATAGAAATATTATCATCTCATTATATCATTAACTAGATGTACAACTGAAGGAATCAATAAGGACAAATTACAAATGTATACATTAAGTCATTTTCACAAACAAAGCCTTCAAAAATGGATCTTACATTGATCACTACTTAAAACATTGATCAACTGTAAATATTTCACTTCTGCAATAAACCACTCGCCACCAGTTTAACTCTGTATTCATATCTTACACAATAATACATGTTCAAGTCCGTCAGGGAATATCATTTCAAGTTTACGAGTACACTGTGTTGATGAATGCCAACTTGAAGTTCTGATGACTACTACATTCAACCACAAAGCATTTGAAGTTATTATTAACTGATATCAAAAACTATAAAGCATCAAAATATTGTTCTATTCTAGTTTATCCCTTGGAAATGAATTCAAGCCTCAATGATTTCCAATTCCACGGTTCACATTCATCAGAATACAATCTACACAGTGAAACTTTTCAGCCTATGTAAATTCACATGACAATATGAATAGACTGATCGATTGTTTACTTCATTCTAATTAAGAACTTCTCATGAGACTAGAATTCATATTATTATTATTAAACATGAAAATAACCTTTATATCTGTTAGATTTTAAATGTTTTTATGTACTTGACTAAAAATGTAAATTCATCAGTAAACAGTATAGACTAGTAGTTGTGTTTTGTACTGTTGATATTGATTTTTTTGTTGATTCAAGTCTATCGCCACATAAACAGTAAATCTCAACTAAACTATATATTCTTCTTTAAAATATAATTTCACATGTGACAACATTATTCAAATAAATTAATATACACCGACAAATTAATATATCTATCTATATTGTACATTGAATTGTAAATTATCTACTTTCATTTATCAATTGATCTTTAAATGAAATACATTTTCATCTTGTATAGAAAAAAAACAACTCTCCTGAAAAAAACAATCAGTGAATAGGTTGACTTATTTTTTTTTCTTCTTATCTCTACAACATATGCATTAATAGGATGTGTACATTTATATACATATATATGTATCTATCTTTACTCCTGTTGTCAAGGTATTTTATTAAGCGGTAGTAAAAACGATTTTTTCTTTTCAAGTATGTAGCTGTCAGTGTTGGTGTGTGTGCATGTGTGTGTGTGTTTATTTATAGGTATGTATCGTTAGATAGATGAGTAAATGAGAGACAATTCGTGCACTGCACAGACTGTCACAAATTATGATCGACCTCATTAACTAACTAACTAACTATACAATTTACACTAATGTAACTAACATTCCTGTTAGTATCAATAACCACAAACACTATGATTGTCAAGTAGAAGTTAACTATACTTATTAAACATACATTTTGTTCACAAAGATGAGTAGTAGTAGTCTTAGTAGTAGTAATAATAATAATAATAGCAACAGTAGATCAATAACTAGGAAGAGGTGATTAGTTTAAAAGTTTCATTGATTTTTTTTTAAAAAAAACCCATTAATTCATTTGTGTATATATATCATTTTGCTCATGTTCCATACCATGTTGAACTTGATTCGAATTATAAGACAAGATTAATATAGTAGTATACACCAACCCCCCCCCCGGTCACCTATTCACATCCAGTTTATCAATGAACATGTACACAAACTACTCATTCCACTCTAATGTAGGCATATCTGATATCAAATCATCACATATTCACAGCAATGCCTGGTGTTGTCAACCTATTGACAATAATCAAAAGCAGAAAAAATATCATCATTACACATGAGAAATACAATATGCAAATGTATATACTTTGTGTTTGGTTGAAAAAAAAAGCCATTAAAGAATGAAATTATGCCTATTTGTCAAAAATGATTGTGTTTTTTAGTTTTGGTATCCTTCTGAGTTTAGTTTGTTATTTTTGATTATTATTGCTGATTTTTATATGCATAAGAAAGAAGTCAACACACAAAAGTAAAGTTGATATTCATTGAAACATTGAACACAGCTTTTTCGCGCGTATCATTTATTAATGCGTTCCATTGAAAACATGTTGAAACAAGTAATCCTTTCTCTTTTTTTTTTTCATTATGAATGTTTAATTTTGATTTTTGATATTTAAGCTCAATATGATTAAGTGATATTGACTGACTTAGTATGTCTGAGAAGACCGAGAGAGAGAGAGAGAGAGTGAGAATTGTGTATATAACGTTGATTGTTATGATGAGTTAGTGTATGTGCGTGTGTGTGTTAGTATTATGTGGTATGCTATGAATTCGATAAATTCTATTGCCTTTTATTAC